TGCTAGGATTACAGGCGTGAACAGAGTGCTGAAGCTTTAAAAATAATAGGTTATGTTTTATAGGCTTATAGGTTATGTTTGCTTCAATAAAACCCTAAGGAGGCCAGGTGCGATGGCTCATGCCCAGCACTTTTAGAGGCCGAGGTGGGCAGATTGCTTGATTCCGGGAGTTCGAAACCAGCCTGGGCAACATAGTGAGACCCAATCTCTAAAAAAAGAAAAGGAAAAATTACCTAAGTGTGGCGGCATGTGCCTGTGGTCCCAGTTACTAGAGAGGCTGAGGTAGGAGGATTGCTTGAGCCCGAGTTTGAGGTTGCAGTGTGCCATGATCGTGCCACTGTATTCTATCCTGGGCAACAGAGCAAAACCCTGTTTCAACAAAAACAAAAAAAACCCTAAGGAGACAGTGTAGTAGAATGGAAAGCGGATGAGATCTGGGATCATTGTTTGAAAGACCGTGTTTGACTTTTTGCTTTGCCCTTACTGTTATATAATCTAGAGTAAAAGTTATTTATCTTCTCTATGACTCAAATGAGTATGCAAATATTAACCCTGAAGGGTTGTTCTGAAGAGTTAATAAAACGATCTGGATACTGGCTGGGTGCGGTGGCTCACACCTGTAATCCTAGCACTCTGGGAGGCCAAGGCGGGAGGATTGCTCAAGGTCAGGAGTTGGAGACCAGCCTGAGCAAGAGTGAGACCCCGTCTCTACTAAAAATAGCAAGAAATTAGCTGGACAACTAAAAATATATAGAAAAAATTAGCCAGGCATGGTGGCGCATGCCTGTAGTCCTAGCTACTCGGGAGGTTGAGGCAGGAGGATCGCTTGAGCCCAGGAGTTTGAGGTTGCTTTGAGCTGGCCTGACACCACAGCACTCTAGCCCGGGCAATAGAGCGAGACTCTGTCTCAAAAAAAAAAAAAAAAATTATCTGGATACTACTGCTGTACAACTGTAAGGATTATTGTTGTTAATTCCATAATAATTGGATGGGTATACTCTGAAATTATGTAGAGATAGAAAAGATGAGCATTTATTTCTCTTTAGTAAAGAGTAAAGGCTTTTTATTAAATGCTTCAGGATAAAATTTGAGAAAATCCCATAATCATGTCCTTAACACATAGTATTTTCAATTAGGTTATGGGGGAATTTGGAAATAGCTAGAATGTTGAATTTGTACTAATTTATTTTGAAGTTCATGGGATTCAGGAAACACTTCTCGTGACCATGTGAATTGACCTATCTTTACATTTGGTAGGCAAGAAGGTAAGAGTACTCCTGATGCTGAAGATAACGAAGCATTGGAAGAAGAGACAGATGATGGGCCATTGCTGGTTCCTCGAGTAAAAGTGGCAGAAGATGGTTCCATTATTTTGGATGAAGAAAGGTAGGTTAAGAAAAAGAGAGGTTGTAGTTTCATGAGAAGAAATATACTTTGTCTAGTGAGAGAGATCCTGTGTCTGTATTTGTCATTGTCACTTAGTAGATGCTGATGTTTATATTTGCATGATGAATATTGTAAATAGAAAAGTGGGTTAGATTAATATATAATTTGTAGCAGTTTTTATAATACTGTGTTTTGTATGAGAAGATAGTACTGCTGCCCTGTCATCCATTAACCTGACACCATTGTTTTACTAACTTTACTTGTAATTGGGTTGAGCTTACCTAACTAACCACATGCTGTATTCCACTGAAGAGAGGTTTCTGAGATAGACTCAGTCTTGAAGTCAATATTCAAGTTTTCATATTATTAACTGATACCATATCTTGGTGTGTGTTGATAACTAATGGATATGCAATGAAACATAGGCTTAACCTATTTTATGATTCTTACTATGGTGAGGTTTGATTCACCTTCTGGTTAAATTTCTTACATCTGGCATTGTGGAATTTAATTGTCACAAGTGTATTTTTTTCAAAGAGGATAAATCAGTAAGTACATAAAAAAGAGGAATGGAAAAATCTTTTGACAGTTTAATAAACATTTTTATAGCATTTACATTCTGTGACAATTATACATAAATGTAATATTGCTAAGCTAAAACTACTTGTTTTCGCATGCTGTTTTCCATTAATTTGTGATGATGATTTTACTGGTCATTAAGTAGTTAAAAGCATATTTAACTGCTTTGTCTGCAGGAATGTAAAATATAAATATAAAATGCTTATATTTCTCAATATTTATTTTGGGCCTAGTACAGTAATATATATTGAATAGAGGAGATATTCAAAGTCAATAAAACAAATATTTTTTTAGGTGGCCCAAAGATATTTTTTGTAAATTTATATTGCCCTTACGGATTTTGAAAATAAGTTGGCATTTATTTCCACCCCCTGTGAATCAACATTTTAAGTAAAAATTAACAGATGGCTTAGAAAATATCCATATTTCAAATGTATATTATTATACTTTTGATATGACTGCCATCCTAAATTTCAAAATACAACTATTTAAATCTCATTTATGGCAGGGTGTGGTGGGTCACACCTGTAATCCTAGCACTTTGGGAGGATGGCTTGAGGCTAGGAGTTCAAGACCAGCCTGGGCAACATATTGAGATCCTGTCTAAAACAAACAAACAAAAAAATTAGGTTGACGTGGCACATGCCTGTAGTCCTAGCTACTCAGGAGAGTGAGGCAGGTGGATCACTCAAGCCCAGGAGTTTGAGGTTGCTGTGAGCTAGGATGATGCCACTGCACTCTAACCTAGGCAACAGAGCAAGATCTTACCTCAAAAAAGAAAACAAAAAAAACACAAAAAACTCATTTACTATTTGTTTCATTACTTCTTTTTAGTGAGGCTCTATTTGAAAATGTGTTTCTTTCAGTTTAACTGTAGAAGTTTTAAGGACAAAAGGCCCCCGTGTTGTTGAAGAAAATGACCCCATATTCGAGCGTGGTTCTACAACTACATATTCCAGCTTTAGGAAAAACTATTACTCTAAACCATGGTCAAATAAAGGTAACTAATTTTCATTTGAAAGTGTATAAGTTATTTATTTGAAATGAAGTGAACTATTTTCTGTTTCTGGATTAGATCAGGTCTCCCCTAAGTAAATAAAATGCAAAGTACCATGTTTTCTCTCCAGCTAATTTTATTGGCACCTCCTTTGTGCTTCCTCCATGGAATTGTATTTTGAAGCTTATCTTAGAAATCTTTTTGAGAATTAGCTTTATGGTCATTTTGGCTGAAATCTCTTTGTAAAATCCCTGTATAAAAAACATCATTTAAGTGAAAATGAATAATATAGTAGTATATTAATAATGTTCTACTTCACATAGAATTGTGTAATAAAGTTTCTATAGGTTAAAATTAGGCTGTTAAACAAAGTACACAATAGCTATTGCCTGCTGGTGCTTTTTATTTAATTTTTATTTTAAAAATAATAGTCTGGGCCGGGCGCGGTGGCTCACGCCTGTAATCCTAGCACTCTGCGAGGCTGAGGCGGGCGGATGATTTGAGCTCAGGAGTTCGAGACCAGCCTGAGCAAGAGCGAGACCCTGTCTCTACTAAAAATAGAAAGAAATTAATTGGACAACTAAAAATATATAGAAAAAATTAGCCGGGCATGGTGGCACATGCCTGTAGTCCCAGCTACTCGGGAGGCTGAGGCAGAAGGATTGCTTGAGCCCAGGAGTTTGAGGTTGCTGTGAGCTAGGCCAACGCCATGGCACTCACTCTAGCCCGGGCAAAAGAGTGAGACTCTGTCTCAAAAACAAAAAAAAACAAAAAAAAAACAATAGTCTGTTTTGGGAGAAAGTTCAAACACAGCTGAAGAATATAGAGTGAAAAGAAACATTCTGTACTTCCCTTCTCTGACTTCCCCAATCCTATGTATCCTACTGAGGTAACTTCTATTAATGGTTTCATGTGTATTTTTCTAGCTACTTTCTTTATGTACTAAGCGCATCTTAGTTGCTCACATAGTGTAATCTTATACTGGCTATAACTGACAGTTTTCTTTAGGGCACTTTGAATGAGACCAAATAGGCAGAATGTCTTTTTAAAAAATTCCAGCTACTTTGCTATTAGCGCGAAAATTTCTTATGCTACGTTTTTTTAAAAGAATGTTTAAACAAGGTCTTTTTAGATATTCCATGAGAATCTTTCTAATAAAATTAAGTACTATCAAATTTATTTTTAAATCAGTATATATACTAATGTAAGATTTCTTTTCTCTGAAATATTGAGAGGATTAATCTTTGTCATTGTAAATCTTTTATTTTTATAGAAACAGATATGTTTTTTTTAGCCATCAGCATGGTTGGAACTGACTTTTCCATGATTGGACAGCTTTTTCCTCACAGAGCAAGGATAGAAATTAAGGTAAAGTAAACCCATCATATTTGCTGATTAATAGGAGACCAAAATTACAAATGTTACTATTTTTTTTACCTTTGGTTTAAATCTTAGTCCATCTTTTTGTACTGTTATGTTTTTGTTACATTTGTCCCTCTTTAATGCTTGAAAAGTAATATTTCTCAGTTCTGATACGATTACAATCTCCTTAATGTTAGTATCATATTTTCTTATAAATATCTTGTCCACTTCTAAAATGAATTTGAGGTTAGTACCAATAAAGGCACTGAAACTAAGATAAAAGAAAAGTTAGATAATGAAGAGGGGAGATAAGTGTATCAGAATATTTAGGTGTTAAAAAAAAGAAAGGATAGCCTTGTGACTTGAATACTATAAAGATAACTTTTTGAACACAAAATATATTTCAGAATTTTCTAGGGAGGCATAAAAAGAATAATTCTGAGTTACATAGTTCTCAATATCTAATCTAACCATTGCTTTTGTAGACCACCTCAACTGTGGGAACAACCAGTGGCACTGTTAATAAAACTGATATCACTTGCAGCTATAACATACCTTGAGAGGATGAGCTTTCTCTGTTTTCTAGTTTCTTTGCTGAGGAACTTTATACAAGTTTCCTGGATTGGAGTGCATTTGAATGCTGTAAAGCTATGTTGCCATGATGCATTCTGAATTCATAGTGAAATCTTTACCCAGCTGTGGGCTTTTTCCTTCATTTCCCATCCCAATCATGTTCATTACGTTAATAAAGGGAACGATTAGGAAAGGTGGGTTTTTTTTCCCCTAGAACTGGAGGATTAAGCATGGATTGCCTGGGGACATTACATAAGGGGCATTGTACAGTATAATGCAATAGTCCTACTCATAGTTCTGCAAGGGATGAGGAACTATTTATATTCTTTATATTCATTTTCTAATGTTGATCTTTGTTAAAAGGAGAATAAAATGTTAAAGTTCTGTGAAGGCTAGAAGTTGATCGTCTAGGGTTGGAGCTCTCTGATGATCTGAGTAATTAATGATAAGTTTGTCACTAGACTTATTTCTGTCAAAAATCACTTAGACTTTTCTCCTAAAAGTTTAGTGTGGTTCTAGCAGGTCTTTGGGCAGAGTGCCATTTCTGGTGCTTTTCTTCCTGTAGGTCTGAACAACAGGTCTGCCATTGAAAAATTTTCTCAGCTTTCATTTGTCTGAATGTCGTTATTTCAGCCTTGTTTTTGAAGGATATATTTTGCTGAATGTAGATCTCTGATTTGACATTCTTTTTCCTTTTGGTCTTTTAAAGATGTCACTCTGTTGTCTCTTGGCCTCTAGTATTTCTGATGAAACGTGGGCAGCCATCATTCATACCATTCTTCCCCCGTGTATGATTAATTGTTTTTCTATGGCTGTTTTCAGGATATTTTTTTCTTTAACTTTCGCATTTAGCAGTATGACGATGATGGTATGCCTAGCTTTAGCTTTCTTTGGGTTTGCAGAGCTTCTTAGCTCTTTAGATTATTTTTCACTATATTTGGGAAATTTGGAATCATTTCTTTTAAAAATTTTTTTGCTTTATTCTCTCCTTCTGGGACTCCACTTACATGGTTTACCCTAAGTGACATTGTACTACAGATTATTAAAGCTCTGCCCACTGTTTTCTAATCTTTTTCCTCTATGTCAGTTTGAATAGTTTCCATTACCATGTCTTCAAGTTCACTGACCCTATCTTTTATCTTCAATCTGCTGTTAAGCCCCAGTCGTGAATATTTCATTTGATATTATTTATTTATTTTTTTTGAGACAGAGTGTTACTCTGTTGCCCGGGCTAGAGTGCCGTGGCGTCAGCTTAGCTCACAGCAACCTCAAACTCCTGGGCTCAAGGGATCCTCCTGCCTCAGCCTCCTGGGTAGCTGGGACTACAGGCACTCGCCACCATGCCCGGCTAATTTTTTCTGTATATTTTTAGCTGTCCAATTAATTTCTGTCTATTTTTGGTAGAGATGGGGTCTCGCTCTTGCTGAGGCTGGTCTCGAACTCCTGAGCTCAAACAATCTGCCTGCCTCGGCCTCCCAGAGTGCTAGGATTTGATATTATTTTTTAATTTCTGTAATTTCCACTTGGTTGTTTTTTTTAGTTTCTGTTCCTCTGCTGTGATTTCCCCATCTGTTCACTCCATATTTTCCTTTAAATCCAGAATGTATTTATAACTAACGGTGCTTTAACGTTTTTTTTTTTTTTTTTTTTGAGACAGTCTCACTCCATTGCCCCTGGTGGAGTGTAGTGGTATCATGATAGCCCACTGCATCCTCTAACTCCTGGGCACAAGCAGTCCTCCTGCCTCAGCCTCCCAGTAGCTGGGACTATGGGCGCACACCACAATGCACGGCTACTTTTTCTATTTTTACTAGAGTCTCACTCTTGCTCAGGCTGGTCTCAAACTCCTGAGCTGAAGCAATCCTCCTGCCTTGGCCTCCCAGAGTGCTAGGATTATAGGCATAAGCCACTGTGCCCAGCCTAACTTTTTTGTCTGTTAATTTCAATATCTAGGTTATATTGGGATCTATTTCTATTGACTGTTTTTTTTTTTCCTTTCCTCAACTGTGCATCATATTTTCTTATGTTTTTTTTTTTTTTTTAATTCATGCCAGATATTGTGGATGGTATGTTGTACAATGTCTGGATTATGTTTTTCTTTCTTTTGAAGAGTGTCGAGTTTTGTTTTGGAAGGCAGTTAACTTACTACCATCTCTTCTGGTTCATGTCAAGGCCAGGTTTAAGCCTTTGGTAAGGCAGATCTAGACTGGTCCTTAATGTATTTTTTTGCAATAAAAAGTTTTAGTTTTCTGTTTTTAGTAAAAGCTTGTATATCACTGATCTGCGGAAGGGGGAGATTGGCTGATTGTTCCCTCTCTCCTAAGAGGTATATGCATAAGTAGACATTCTCAGCCACAAACTTATGCCCTCCAACTTCCTAATGACCTTAGGATAGATTGAGGTTTAAAATTTAAATAAAATCTCTCCATCTTGTTAATGGAGGTAATCTGGAGTGGAACTGAGGAAGAAGATCAGGGTCTTTGGTGCTGAGGAAAATGTGAAGAAATATGCCTTAATATATAGAAGTTTCTAAAGATAAACTTGGCCTGCTTCAGAGTTTTGCTTAGTTGTTTCTCTAGTTGTTTTTTGTTTAGTCTCCCCTCTATGCCACTTGACACCTGTCAGAACAATGTGAGAGGTTTAACCAGATATGAATATTTAATTTTAAAAAAGTTATTAGTTAGCTTAATTGATTATAAGTTTCATCTGCTTCCATGTTAGTTGACTTTATTTTTTCTGTCCTTTGTAAATCCACCTTCTGTTGCTGTTTCATGCTATTAATAATGAGGATCAGGAAGCTCAGTAAAAATCTTTTATTTTTAAAGAGCTAAAGGTTTAAGTAATTTGCCTATTAGCAGAAGCATATTTAGTAGAGAATAGTATGTTATTCATAAGAGTTGCATTTGTAATGCTTTTAAAAACTTGTTTAATGGGAGAAAATTACTATAGGGTTTTTCTTTTTTTTTTTGTTAACAGAATAAATTTAAACGTGAAGAGAAAACAAATGGATGGAGAATAGACAAAGCATTCCGTAAGTATGAAGACCTCTTTTACAAAGTATCACTTGAAGAGCCTTAAAAATGACCAATCTTTTGTCTTTGGCTCCAGAACATTTTAGATTTGTTTTGTCCCTACATTGGCATAGGAAAAAAAAAATAAGACTAGAAATTTTTCTGTTTAGCAGTATGGCTTTGGTAGTTGCTACAAATCTATAGGCAAGGGATTAGCCAAAACATCCAGAAGCAGGTAAACAGGGTTCTAATTCTAAGTCCAAGAACTTATAGAGGAACTGATAGTACCACTTCTAAGTTCTTTATTCTGTAAGAACTGTATTCAAGGAGATAAGGAGATACTATAAATGTTTCTTTCCAGTAGTCAATCAGTTGTTCAGTCAACAACACTGACTACCTGCTGTGTGCTAGTTACTATTCTAGATATTGAGATGGTGAAGAGGGCAAATGAGAATCCCGCGTTTAGAGCCTTAAATCTTACTGGATGGGGGAAAATAACATAGTTGATAAGTGTGATAATTTTACATAGTGATTAATTTCTGAGAAGAAGAAAGAAGAGGGTGTTAGGAGGTGAATGTTCAGATTGAGCAGGGAAGTTCTGTTTGAATAGGTATCATTTGAATTGAATTTAACCTGATGTGAAAGCGTGATACTGTTCAGCTTCTAATATCCTCATTAAAATTAACATTTTTTTCTTTTATTAAGTCTGGAGAAAGACATCAAGGGATCTCTAAAGAAAAGTAATTAAATTTACTGTTTAAAGTACTTCCTAAGCTGGGTGTGGTGGCTTGCACGTATAATCCCAGCTACTTGGGAGGCTGACATGAGAAGATTCCTTGAACCTGGGAGTTGTAGACCAGTCTGGGTGATATAGTGAGATCCTGTCTCAGTCAATCAATCAGTCAGTTCCTATATGCTTTGTTTGGAAGATACATCTTTTTCATGGACCTATAATTATCAGCATTTTATGATTAATAAATGTCCATGAAGCTGTAACATTAGCCTTAGTGGTAATTTTAAGGAAAAAAATCCAAGTATAGGGAGAATTTAGAATGTGTAGCATGCATATTTATTTTATGAGTAGACACTAATGTATATGAATGTATCCTACACCCAGTGTTGTACTGGGGCTTCAGGGAAACAAACCACTACCAGAAATGGCTCCTAGAATATCTGGAATATTGTGGTCCTCAACTCACTTCATGTTAGAGAAGTAGTTCTGAAACTTTTCATTAGGTTTAACACATTATAATCAGAAAATAATCCATAAATTTATGAACAGTATATTTGGACTGTGGAGCCTTTTTAAAGACCATTATAATAGGTAATCTTTGAAACACGCTGGTTTTGAGCCAGGCATGGTGGTGAATGCCTATAGTCCCAGGTACTCAGGAGGTTTAGTTTAAAGGATCCCTTAAGCCCGAGAGTTTGAGGCCAGCCTGGGCAACATAGTGAGACCTGTCTCAAAACTGCCTCTCCCCCCGCTCCAACTTATGATTTTGGTGCTGTGGTGGAAAATAAAAAAAAAAAAAAATTAAAACTCACATAGGTTTTTGGGGGAAACTTATGTTTTGAATTTCTGAGAGAACCATTATGGATTCTTTGATTGCTAAGTTTGTCTTTCAGAATCATTGTTGTGGAGAGTCGGAACAGATTAAGTCTGGGTCGACAATGAAATAGAGCCTTTAGGAATCCCAGATTTGGTTTTGATTTCCTGAGATTATTTTTATTTTAGTATATATTTCTTTTTCTGAGGCCATCTTGTAATCAAACCAATCTTCAGCTTACATGTATAGAGAATCATTTTCTCTCGTTCACTATAAGTTTAGCTTAGGCAAAGATTTAACTTCCATACTGAATTCATTCCTGGTTTGTTCACTGATTGTTCTTTCTGATATAGTGCTGTCGATGGGTATTTCGTAGGAGTGTTCCTGATTAATATTCATGTTTTTCCACTTTGCTGATACTAGGAAGAGTAAATGGTGAAATGGTTGTGATAAAGATAGAACATGTGGTGTTAGGCATTGTGAGAACTTCTTAGTCATCTTTGTCATTTTTAAAAATTGATTTATATTTATACATAGTTCAAAGTATAGTTTGAGTTTTGACAAAGAATATACTTATGTAACTACTACCCTCAAACAATACATGGAACATTTTCATCACTTCAGAAGGTCTCTTGTTTTGTTTTCTAGTCAGTCAAATGCTGTCCTCTTGGTTCAAGGCAACTTCTATTTTTATTTGAATCACCATAGATTAGTTTAGCATATTCTAGAATATCTGATTCTTGGAATAATACATTATGTACTTTTTTATATCTGGTTTCTTTCACTCACTATGTTTTTGAGATTCACCGATATTATTGCTTGTATCAGTAGTTTTTTTTTTTTTTAAACTAATGTAGTCCTTTTATTGCTGAGTGGTGTTCTGTTGCATATTCACTTATCCATTCTGCTGATAGACAAGCCCATTTGTTTTTAATGTTATGATACTTTAAAAAAATAAAAACTAGAAATAGTTTTTTTAAGAATAAAAACTTGAAAGTTCTTTTCCTTTTTTTAAACAGAGGAAAAGCGTCCTTTTGACTTCGATTTTTTTGCTCATTTGCTTCAGAAAGTTCTTGCTGAAGAAGAGAAAAGAAAACAAAAGTCTGTTAAAAATCATAGTTTAAAGGAGAAGAAATCCTCCAAACCACGGAAAAATGTAAAAGGTATTGATTTTAAAAGAAAGTGTGCTATTTTACTTAGTAATAATAGACATGCAATATTGTCTCTCAGATCTTTGAAAGCTCATGTGTATATATTAATGGTTGAGGTGGTTATGATCATCAGGGCATCCAATGGAAAGGAATTGATTTTCCTTCATTCTGCCAGTTATCTAGGCCAAAACAGCAACTTGCTTTTAACTTTATTAAAAAAAATTTTTATTTCAAAATATTAGGGGGTACAAGAGTTCTTGTTACATGGATGAATTGTAGAATGCTGAACTTAGGGTTTTTAGTGTGCCTGTCACCAGAATAGTGTTCATTGTACCCTATAGGTAAGGTTTTATCCCTTGCCCTCTATTAAATTTTTAAATTGGCATGGCTGGGCTGTTTGACATTTTTCTAGTATCTAGAGCGTAGTTGTTGCTAATCAAAGAGTGTCACAGGGTTGAAATGTCACGTTTTATGTTGTGGTTATTTATTATCATTTTCCTCTGTAAAACAAATCTGGTATAAAATTCTAATATTTAATAAATGGAAACCTAATATTTTGGGGTTGTGACTAGATTGTATTGTTTGAGTCCAACTTATTTCTGAAGGTTAATGTTGACTTGTAACAGGTAGCAAATTGTTAATATGAAGATATTTTTATTTTTAGGCTTATATTTTCTTAACTATTTGAACTCTGTCCTATGAAGACAATGTGCAACTATGATCACATAATTTAAAGAATCTTGGAACTACAGGAAAACTTATATGTTAGCTAGGCAGTGTCCCAGCCCCCTTTCCATTTGTTTTGATCACTAAGAACTAGCTTCAGAAATCTGAAGACACTTTTTCCCAAGGTGTTAATACCGTTAGAAGTGGCAGAATTAGGACACAAACCTAAGCCTGTGAGAGCCTGTGTTGGAGGTCCCCAAGACCACCCCCCAGGTTCCATTATATGCTAAGAGAACTCACAGGATTTAGCACCCTCTGCCTGGCATGTACCAAAATTCCAGACTTCCAGAAGGAAAGCAGTTTAGCATAAACCACGTTATCTGTATAAACAGTTTAGACACAGGGAGCCAGTCTTTTCACTTAGGGTGGTAGGAACCCTCCATCAAACCAAATTCTCACACATGGCCCAAGGGCCAACCTTATAAGTAAGGTTTCTAAAGGATAGCATTCAAACCTGTTGTATTAACTCTTTTTCTGTACAAAGCCAATCTAGAATTTCTTCTTCTGGAGCATGGTGCCTATGTCTTTTAAAAAGTAGTATGGATAACTGCAAACTACCTTTATTCTTTTTTTTTTTTTGAGACAAGGTTTCACTTTGTCACCCAGGCTGGAGTGCAGTTGTGCAATCACAGCTCACTGCAGCCTCAAACTCCCAGGCTCAAATGATCATCTTTCCTCAGCCTCTGGAGTCGCTATAACTACAGGTGTGCACCACCATGCCTAGCTAATTTTTCTTTTCCCTTTTCTGTCGAAATAGGGTCTCCCTATGTTGCCCGGGGTGGTCTCGAACTCCTGGCTTCAAGCGATCCTCATGCTTTGGCCTCCCAAAGTGCTGGGATTATAGGCATGAGCACCTGGTCCAACTTTTATTCTTAATAGTATTTTTTTTTTTTTTTTTTTTACTTACTGTACGTTATCCTGGAAGATTAAACTAGATAATATGAATTTTTCTTGTGATTATCATGTTGCAGGTGATAGCCTGAGTAATTCACTGTATCTTATTTAATGTAAGAACTTTTCAAATATATTATTATAAGTCTCAGAATTTAAGAAAATTCTGATTACTTTGACAGAATAAATCAAATGTTATTTTCTCACTTTTAAAATCTTGTCTTTTTTAAAAACAAAAGTAAATGACATTGAATTTTATTATTCTTTGAGATTAGATACTTTTAGAGAAGATATCTGATTGGCCGTGGTTATGAAGTTAAACTTGCTTTGGTTTTGATGCCGTCTTAGTTTGTTTCATGCCGCTGTAACAGAATACTTCAGACTAGGTAATTTTTAGAGAACCGAAATTTATTTCTAACAGTTTTGGAGGCTGGGAAGTCTAAGATCAAGGCATTGTCATGTGACAAGGGCCTTCTTGCTGTGTCATCACATGGCAGAAGTGCAGTAAGAGAGAGCAAGGAGAGGACCAAACCTGTCCTTTTATAATAGCATGAATTCCACCGTGAGGGTTCAGTCCTTATGACCTCTTACAGGTCACACCTCTTTTTTTTTTTATTGAGACAGAGTCTCACTCTGTTGCCCTGGCTAGAGTGAGTGCCGTGGCATCAGCCTAGCTCACAGCAACCTCAAACTCCTGGGCTCAAGCGATCCTCCTGCCTCAGCCTCCCGAGTAGCTGGGACTACAGGCATGTGTCACCATGCCCGGCTAATTTTTTCTATATATTTTTAGTTGTCCAGATAATTTCTTTCTATTTTTCTTTTTTAGTAGAGACGGGGTCTCGCTCTTGCTCAGGCTAGTCTCGAACTCTACACCTCTTAGTATTGTTACAATGGCAATTAAATTTCAGCATGAGTTTTGGAGGGGACAGACATTCAAACCATAGCAGATGTTGTTTCCATGGTGATCTCTAAATTTTTTTTGTTTTATTATTTAATTCATGTTTTCATCTTTTAACACAGTTGGCTATTAATATGCCTTAATAGGAAAGGTACTAGAAACTATTTTAAAATACTTGTTAAAAAGATTGTTCATTGAATAAAATGATACAAAAGATAAACTCTGTCTCCTACCTGTCTCTCAAAGCAAATTCTTAAGGTTTTCCTGAGATAATTATATCTAAACCCTTTTCTGTGCATATATATGTGTGGGTGTGCCTTTGAGTACAGACAGTGCCCAACTTACCATGGTTCCACTCATGATTTTTCAACTTCATAATAGTGTGAAAATGATACACATTCAGTAGAAACCATACTTTGATTACTCATACAACCATTCTGTTTTTCACTTTCAGTACAATATTCAGTAATTACATGAGATACTCAACACTTTATTATAAAATAGGCTTTGTGTTAGATGATTTTATGCAACTGTAGGCTGATGTGTTCTGAGCACATTTAAAGTAGGCTAGGAAGCCCACACCTGTAATCCCAGCTTCTCTGGAGGCTGAGGCAGGAGGATAGCTTTGACCTCAGGAGTTCGAGGCTACGGTGAGCTATGATCCTGCCACTGTTCTTCAGCCTGGGTAAAGAGTGAGACTCTGTCTCTAAAAAACAAGAAAAAAAGGAGGCTAAGCTATGATGTTCAGTAGGTTAGGTGAATTTAATGTATTTCAACTTATCATGTCCTCAATGTACAGTAGGTTTATTGGGATGTAACCCATTGTAAGTGTAGGAGCATCAGCATATGTGAATGTTTTTAATAAAAATGAGATCATATATATTCTACCACTTGATTTTTCAATGCAACAGTATGTTTTAAAATTTTTCTTATTACTACATGTAAACTTACCTCATTATTGTTATTGGCTGCGTGGATTTTTATAGCATGAATGTACTATAACTTATTTGGTCATTTTCTCTTGGACATTTTAGGTTGCTTTCAATTTTTTTGCTTTTATAAATAAGACTACAGAGGACATCCTGGAGTATTAATATTTATCTTTTCCATCTTTATGAGTTTTTCTGTAGGTTGTTTACATATTTATAACCACTTCTCTTGTTTTCAGTGAAAAAAGTTGCCCGTGAACAAGTGAATAATGATCCAGATGCGTCTGTGAGTACTAAAATTTCAGACACACAAAGATCTCCAAAGGATGTTCAGACAGTTGAAGAAGAAGATTCTTTGACTTTATCAGGGCAAGATTCAGAACAGGTTGCTTTAGAACAAGATCTAAATCAAAAGGAAAGGAGAAGGAAGAATCAAGAAGCAACTAATGAACCGGAAGCAAACAGTCTTGTGGAGAATGCCACTGTTCAGTCAGGCCCTTCTAAAGGAGAAAAACATAGGAGTAAGTTTCACACATATTTTAACAGCCTCTGTGTTGCTTGAGAGGATGTGTGCAGCAATATGGTATATAACTAAAATACTTTCCTTCTAGATAGCAGCAATTAAGCAATTAATAATGCTTATTAATTTTGTAGTTATGGTACTGGGTTAAATCCTTTTATTGTTAATTAAAAGAAAAAAATTTATTGTAAAAAAACCAAATTAAAAAAACAAAGCAGGGAGATTTTTCTCTCAAGTTTGTTTCTAAGATGTATCACCTCGTATATATTCCCATTAACAATGAAATGACATGTATATAGTTAAATGTATGTTGCTTATGTCAATAAATGACAGGTTTTCATGTTGTATCTCTACATAGCACCTCTGTGAACCCACAATGGGTTGTTTAATTTCTATAAAAGAACTGGTGGAATAAGTATTCCTCCTGTTTTTCTTTTGTACCCTTAGAATGCAAGCATATTGACACATAGGAATTACTAGTGCTTGAGGGCTGAGTTTGGGGGGCTTGGTCCCTTAAGAGTTCATACATAGATTATTTGAAGCAGATAATCAAGTAAAGAGAGGAGGAAAAGGGAGGAGCAGACCAGAACAACTTTCTGTAAAATTTATAATGTATGTGTGTCAGCTTTACCAATATGATTTTAATAAATGAATCTTGGTAATTAATGTAGTATAATTTATAGGCATTATGATATTATACTCTCTTGTGGCTTGCTGTAAGAGTCATTTCCATATAAAGCAGAATAGCTTAATGATTCAGAAATGAGATTTTAGAAATCTAACAGACCTTGCTTTAAATTCCGGGTCTTTTATTTGTTAAATATTACATTGAGCAAGTCACTTAAAATCTCTGAATTCATGTTCTTCTCTTTATGATGGAGTTAATGTTAATACCTTTAAATAGGATTGTTTTTAGTATGAAATGAGATAATGAGACATCTGACGGACTTAAGAGTTCTTGCCACTTAGTACTCAATAAATTATACCTCTGAAAGAACAAAAGAATAGCCAAGTCTACTTTTAGTTTCTTGACTAGACATGTAAAATAAGTCAATTTAACCACTTAAAATCTAATCAAGACAAAAGGAAGATGCTGCAAATTGTCCAGGAATTTTGGACTGATCCTCAAAACATAAGCAGTTATAAGTTGATTAACTTTTCTTTGTGCTCTAAAAATAAGATGTATGCCTTGTCAATGGGAACTTGAATGTTGAATGGATTAATGTTTTGTAGGAAAAGGCAATGTTATGTAAATTACTCTGTGCTTTAAAAAAATAGATGTTTTTGCTGTCATATTTTAGAATAACATACATTTTTTATTTTTAGATAAATGTCAGTCTTTAAGGCCTGAGGTAAATGAAGATGAATGCAATAAACAACAGCTTTCCTGTGTACAAAACATAGATGACATTGTGGGTTTAGCCTCCAGTGAAAAAGTTGAGAAAATAACTGACCCCATCCTTTTATCAAGGTATCTTCTGCATTTTTTCTGCTTTATCTAGGCTATTGATTAGCAAGAGAGGTGTGTTGAAGTCTCTAACAGTGATTGTGTATTTGCCTGTTTCTTTTTTCAGTTCTATTTGTTTTTGCTTCATGTATTTTGAAGCTCTGTTGTTCGGTGTGTATATACCTAGGATTGTTGTGTCTTCTTGGTGAAATCCCCTTTGCTGTTGTGTATTATCCTTTGGTATTGCTCTTTATTCCTGATGTTTGTCACTATAGCTTTCTTTTGGTTGGTGTTTGCATGGGTTTATCATTTTCTGTAAAGATTTTCTTTTTATCTTTGGTTTTCATTAATTTAAACGTGGTGTATCCTGCTGTGTGTGCGCACTTTAATTTTTTGTTTGTTTTTGGCTGGGTGTGGTGGCTCATGCCTATAATTCTAGCACTTTGGGAGGCTGAGGCGGGAGGATTGCTTGAGGCCAAGAATTCAAGGCTGCAGTGAGCTGGACAACAGAGTGAGACCCTGTCTCTTAAAAAAAAATCTAGAATAATTAAAGCAGTGGGGTACTGGTACATGGGTTGACAAATTAATTCAGTGGAACTAGGAAGAGTCTAGGAAGAGAAACTTCTTTTCTTCTTTTTTTAAAAAGTACTTTCAGTTGCTGTTTTATAGGAATCTTTTATATAGTAGAGGTAGCTTTTTGAAATTAGTGGGCAAAGATTAACTTCATTAGATTATGATGAGATATGAAAAAGATAGTGTTAGATCCCTATTTTTCCCTTCCACTAGCTTACCAAGGGATTAAAGACAACATATATAAAACAAATCTTTAAAACTTTTAGAAGAAAGGTAGGAACATATCTTTGTGGACCAGGCGTGGTAGCTGACACCTGTAATCTTGGCGCTGTAGGAAGCTGAGGTGGGAGGATTGCTTGAGGCCAGGAGTTCAACATAGCCAGCCAAACCCTGTCCCTACAAAAAACAAGAAAAAAATTTGTGGGGCATGGTGGCACATACCTGTAGTCTTAGCTACTCTTGGGTGGCTGACCTGGAGGATTGCTTGAGCCTAGGAGTTAAAAGTTGCAGTGAGCTATGATTACACTGCTACACTGCAGTGTGGGCAACAGAATAAGAACGTGTCCCTAAAAAAATAAAAGAAAATATCTTTGTGATGTAAAGGATTTCTTAAGACATAGAAAGCACAGACTTTAAAAGATAAGATTGATAAATTTGACTGCAGTAAAATTAAATACTTCTGTTAACAAAGGCTCCATAAAGAAAATAAAAGGCGGCCGGGCGAGATGGCTGACGCCTGCGATCCTAGCCAAGGCAGGAGGATTGCTTAAGGCCAGGAGTTTCAGACCAGCCTGACCAAGAGCAAGAACCCATCTCTACAAAATATAGAAAACTTAGCCGGGAGTGGTGGCGCGTGCCTATAGTCCCAGCTACTGGGGAGGCTGAGGCAGGAGGATCACTTGAGCCCAGAAATTTAAGGTTGCAGTGAGCTATGATGATGCCACTGCACTCTAGCCAGGGCAACAGAGCAAAACTCTGTTTCAAGAAAAAAAAAATTAATAATGTTTAAGAAAAAAAGAAAGTAAAAGACAAGTTATAAATTGGAAAGTTTTACGGGTAACATGTAGTCAGTAAAAATATATAGAGGGAGGCTAGGTGCGGTGGCTCATGCCTGTAATCTCAGCACTATGCGAGGCTGATGCAAGAGGATTATTGGAGCCCAGGAGGTCAAGGCTACAGTGAGCTATGATCAACCAACACACTCTAGTCTGGACAACAGAGTGAGACCCTCTCTCAAAAAAAATATATAAATATACACAGGCACGAGCAAGAGAGTGATTGAGAGAAAGAGAGAACTCCGATAAGTCAGGAGAAGATAAACACCCAGGAAAAAAATGAGGAAAAGAAAGTATGGCTAAATGTGAATAGTGCTGGTTAGTATATGGATATAAATTATATTATCGTTGAAGTCTTTCATAATGCAGTACTTCTTGGTTGGCATAGGACAGTGTTAACTGCAACTTGAGCTTATTAGAACTGTGTCCTCACTTGATATGACTTTTGGTTAACACAGTACCATGCAAAGCAAGGACCGCCTATATCAAATTTTAATGGTACCTAATTCCTAAATATTACTGCGATTTTACACTTGTATTTGTTTGGTGAATCCCATTTAATCAATAATTTTTCATTTTGAAACTTCTTGAACACTTTCACAAGCCTGTTAAATTGTGGCTGTTGCTTTCTTTGAGGGTATAGTTCTTTATAACTTGATACAAGAAGGATCATAGAGAAGCCAACATAACAGTTTTGATTATTCCGTAATATGAAACATCATCTTCCAAAGTGGTGTTTTGTGTATTTAAAAAATCTCTTGTATAAAAATATGTATTACTAGGAATTCTTTTCCTCCTTGTATATTTTCATTTCCTTAGTAATCAACAAGATGCCATGTTAGTAGCAACTGAGTCTTCAGAATCAGGCACTTCAGATTTGCCTTCATTAGAAGTTGGAATTAGAACAATGTGTGAAGTGAATAATGCTGACAGTAGTTGTACAGAAGAAAGAAATGCTGACCTAAAGAGTAAATCACTGTAAGTATTTTAAATGGTAGGACTTGTTTATTTCCACAATTTTGACAATGTTCTTAAATGATAATATTGCTTTATTTAGGGATTAGAAGAGATTAACATGTAGACCATTTAATGTGTAATTATATTGTGGTCCCTTAAAAGTGAGATGTCAGTGTAAGGCTGAGTGCAGTGGCTCATTCCGTAATCCTAGCACTTTGGGAGGCCCAGGTGGGAGGATTGCTTGGGGCCAGGAGTTCAAGACCAGCCTGGGCAACATAGCAAGACCTCCTCTCTACAAAAAATAAAAAAATTAAGGCTGGGCTTCGTGGCTAATGCCTATAATCCTAGCAGCCTGGGAAGCTGAGGTAGGAGGATTGCTTGAGCTCAGGAGTTCGAAACCAGCCTGAGCAAGAGC